CATGATCTTTCTCCAGAGACTGATAGGTAGGTAGGTGGTGGTGTGTTGTGGAGTTGATTCCAACTTACAACCACTCTATGTGGGGTTTCCAAAGTTGTAAATTCTTACGGGAACAAGAAACCTCATCTTTCTCCCACAAAATGGCTGAGTTTTTTAGGTTTTTTTTTTTTTTTTTAAGTTTTTATTGTGAATTGAGTGAAAGTGTACAGGGCAGATCATCACTTTCACATTCAACAGATCATATACTTTGTTTCAATATAATGATAATAATCTCCATGTATCGTCAGTTAAGAGTATTTCGTCTCTCTATTCATTTTAGCTCTCTCTTTTTTTAAAAAACACTCAAACATATATAATAATTTACACCACCAAAGGGCACAATTCTGCAAGTCTACCTCCTGGTCACCAGCTCTCAGTCCCTCTAATTCCATGAATCTAGAGTCCTAAGTTGCTCCCTCTTCTCCGTGTCCTTATTCTCTGCCTCCACCTGTGGTATCGCTGCTTCTCTAGATAGGGTCCCACATTCTGCTCGTGATCTTCTTTGATGGTCTTTGGTACAAAACTTCTACCTTACAATTGTGACAGTCACAATTAGTCATAACAATTACTATTAAATCATAAGAATCTTATCCCTATCTCCTTTCACCAGACCCATCTAGACAAGACGAAAAATATTCAGTGGGGATTCTACCATCCTCTACATAATCTTAAACTAAACTCTCTTGAAAACTTGAAAGTCTCTTCGTGCCTTTATTGCCCCCTCATTTTAGGTAGCCAATGTCTAAATTGCCCATCCCTATCTACCCTGTATACAGAGGGCAGAGGATTGATACTTGATGTAAAGATACCTTCCCTCTGTTGGTATTTTGAGCTATTGCCTCCATGAGTATAGGTCAAGTTCATCAAATTGTAGCAATTTACCCTCGTTTCCTTTATCTAAAATTGTTTTTTGTTGTGTTTTTTAAATCATCCTCTAGTCGAGTTTGATTATCAAGTCATCAAGCCTAGGTCAGATGGGCACTATCTGCAAGTTTGGGTGTTCTTGTGCTTCTGCCCTCACTTCATGTCAGCTGGATACTTCACTCTCAATTCTAGCCCTCTGTGGCTATGTCCTTGTCCATGGGCTCAGGTATCTCCAGGTCTCACCACACTTTGGGCAAATCAGCCCTTCCTCTTCTCTTTCTCATTTTCAGGTCGAAGGGAGTGTATGGAACTTGGTTGAACTCAGCCCATTTCTTCATTACTACCTTTCCCCCTCTTCCACTCACCAGTAGACCAATGTGGTCGCCAACAAGCTCACATGCCTGCTCATGTGTTCCCTTTGAGTTTCAGTCTTAGAGGGGAGGTTTGTCACAGCTGGTAGTTTTGAACTGCTGACCTTGAGGTGAGCAGCCCAACTCATAACTACTATACTACCAAAATGTCCAGGGCTGTATCTCATGTGTTAAAATGAAGTTTTTGACTATTCCAAGTTCTGTGCCATCCTTACAATTATTGTTACCCTTGAATATTTTTAATTAGGGGAATACCATGGTCTTGTTTATGCTTTAAAAACATTTCTGACTACCCTTACGCAAGAAAATGGCCAGACAGCAAAATAAAAACAGAGATTACTAGGAAGCTATTGTTGTAGTTTAGGTACTCCTGGAATCGTGGTGTGGAGTGGTAAGTTACACAAGGTTGGCGGTTCAAACCCTCCATTTGCTCCTTGGAAACCCTATGCAGAGTCACTAGGACTTGGAAATGAATTGACAGTACTTAACAACAGGTAAGCCTAGTGTGATGGCGTTGGAGGATGAAAGAAGTGGATTGATGTGTAGTAAAATAGAAAGGAAATCAGATTGTAATTTGGATGTGGAAATGTTCAAGGAGGAATTCATGTTTCTGGTTTGAACTTTTTGGTGGTGAGTGGTGCTATTTATTTAACCGGAAATGATAGAAAAACAGTATCTCTAGGATAAGGTCTAGCTAGCATTAGTGCGTGAGCCTACCTAGCTACATGTTTATGTGCATTTAACTATGTGATTTTTAGTAGAAGTTTGTAGACATAAATTTCAGGTGCTTATGCGTCATGTCATTGACATCAAAGGGGCAGTTGGATGCTGTATCTGGGGCTCAAGAAACAAGTCAGAATTGGAGTTACAAAAATGGTAACAGACATAGAAATGAAATCGATCCTGAGGATCTGTTCATCAGTATTTTTTAAAATTATTAAATAATATTTTTATATTTGCATATAAGTGAAAATCAATTTGAAATCTCATATCTGTACATTATTAAAACAATAATTTGTAAAATAAAGATTTCACTTCAAGTTATGAGGAAGGATGTCCTCATTTGTAAATACTTTGGAACTATTGAGCTGTCTCTGGAGGTGGGGAATAGAGCTAAATCTAATTCACTAAAATAAATGTTGTTAATGTTAGCTGCCATAAAGTCAGCACCTGATTCATGAAGACCCAGTGCACAGCAGAACAAATAAGCTGCCCATTTCTGGGCCATCCCCATGATTGGTTGTGCATAGGGATTGTATTGACTGATGTCCAGAAGTAGATATCCGGGCCATTTTTGCTAGTCTACGTTCATCTGAAGCTCCCAAGAAATCTAAGCATCCCAAGCATCATAGCCACACACAAACCTCCATTGACAAGTGGATGGTCGGGTCCACTGGCCAGGAATTGAACCTGGGTCTTGCCCGTGTTGTTGTGTGCCATCAAGTTCGTGTCAGCTTATAGCAACTCTTTATAGAGTTTCTGAGAGTGACTGGTGAGTTTGAACTACTAACCCTGTGGTAATCAGTCCAGTGCTTATCCTGTAGGGCCACACAATGAAAGGTAAGAGTTCTACCACTGAATCACCAACACTCCCTAAACTATACCTTCTAGTTGTTGTGTGTGGTTAAGTTTATTCAAACTGACAGCATCCCTATATGACAGATTAGAAGTGCCCCTCAGGTTTCTCTAGGCTGTAATCTATGGATGAGGAGATGATGGGCAGGGCTTTAATTCTCACAGAGAGGCTCCAACCTTTTGCTTAACAGCATAGCTCTTACCCATTGCACCATCAGTACTCTAAACTGCTATAACAATGATAAATGTATTTGCTCCTGTGACTTGAGGTCTTCTCAATGAATGGTTCCTAACATGACCCAGGATCATTCGTTTTTGTTTTTAAAAGAAAGTAAGAATTATTGCATGCTTAATAACACAGGAATCCTGGTATAGTGTGGATTTATGTACTGGACTGCAAAGTCAGTTTGAACCATAAAGTCAGCAGTTTAAGTTCACCAGCCATTCATTGGAAACCCTATACAGAGTTGCTATGGGTCAGAGCTGACTTGATGGCACTTAACAGCAACATGCATTAGGCATGTTTAAAGTGTTCAAATGCAGAGATCAGTTTGAGGACTAGGGTGCACCTGATCCAAGCCGTAGTGTTTTCAGTCGCCTCATATGCGTTTGAAAGTCAGATAATGAATAAGGAAGACCACAGAAGAATTGATGCATCTGAGTTATGGTGTTGGAGATGAATATTGTAAGTGCCCATGGACTGCCAGAACAACAAACAAATCTATGTTTGAAGAAATACAGCCAGAATGTTCCTTCAAAGCCAGAATGGACATGTTATTAGGAGGGACTGTGGTCCCTAGAGAAGGATATCATGCTGTTAGTAAAGTGGTGGAGGGGCAGTGAAAAAAAAAGGAAGCCTCCTAACGAAAAGGATTGACGCAGTGGCAGCAGCAGTGGGCTCGACTAAACGGCACCTAACAACACATGTTAAATTACCCATACAACATATACTTTATTTTTTAACAGAATGGGCTGGGTTTCTTTTAATGTAGTATTTTAATTTTTATGTCAGCAGTATATAATGGTGGTTGGTGGTTATGTGTTGTGGAGTCAGTTCCGACAGGGTTTCTGAAGCTGTCAGTCTTTACGGGAGCAAAAAGCCTTATCTTTCTCCTGTAGCACTGCTACATCTTTAATTTCTTCATTTTTAGAGTCACATGGTCTTTCACAGGTATGGTTTGTAGTAGTCGGTTGTTTCAATGCAGTGTAATGTATTTAACCATTCTTCTAGTGTTTTAAAGGAGCTTCACAGTAGCTAAGCACTTGAACGGAAAGTTTGGCAGTTCAAATCCACTAGCTTCTCTGCAAGAGAACGGTGACGCAGTCTGCTTCCATAAGTATTGCCATCTTGGAAATTCAGTGGGCAATTCTACTTTGGCCTACAGGGATGCTATTAAGTTGTAATGAACTCAGTAGTAGTGCAGCTGGTCTTTTGGTTTCTAGTGTGTATTCAGATACCATGAACATACTATTATTGAACACTTAAAAGTTTCATAGAAAGTTACAACACAAAGTGCTCATATTTACATCAAAGACAAATACACAGTCGACCCATTTGGATTTCTTACACCTTTCAATTTTATTTCTCTATAATGAGAATTTGAAAGTTTGATTTTTAGAAACTTAGTTACTTTAGAAGACAGAAAAATTACATTTCTTAACAGATGTGAGTAAACTTTTTTTATTTTATATTCAAAACGTTAGACTAGTTTTAGCTACAAGTTGTAGATTTTTAGATTAACCACTCATATTAAAACTAGCTGCTATTACATATTGAAATAAAAACTACAGTAGTAAGTTGCTCTGGATTGGCTTTGTATAGCTTAATCCTATATTTCATTAGCTTTATCAGCTTTTCTCCTTGTAATCGTTTATTTGGAAAAGTGAAGCAGTAGTATATAACCATGGAAACTGGTTACCTTTTCCATTGGATGATTAGGCATGTTTGCTATATATTTTATATATATATTCACATTTAAAAAATAGATAAAAATTTTTGTGCTCCTAACAAAGGATTTTAAACACAAATAAGAATATCTTTTTTTTTAAATCCCTTGGAACGCCCTGTGAAATGTTGGAACTGCTATATGTATGGTCTACTTTGAGTAACCAAAATAATATTCATCTCCTTCCTGTGTGCCTCTTTTCTAGGCAGCCCAGTCAGTGCTGATTTCCTTATTTGAACTTAATACCCCAGAGTTTACAATGTTGTTAGGAGCTTTACCAAAAACTTTTCAGGATGGTGCTACCAAGCTTCTTCATAATCACCTTCGAAATACAGGCAATGGGACCCAGGTATTTATTACTTATTTTCATAGCTGTGGTACAATGTGTTGATTGGTTTAGCAAGAATTGATTTACTTGAAATAAATTTTTGCATATGCATTGTACAGCATTTTCTTAGCTTAAATACTGTGTTGGAAAACAAGAGTCCTTTCAGCCTGTCATGCTTATATTATATTGTGGTGTATAATTTGGGTGGTGGTGAGGAGTGCAGAAGGTGTAAACAAGGAAAGTCATGCGCATACAACATAGATGTAGGGTAGTGTTTAGAAAGAGTTGTTCACAATTAATGATTACAAACCCATATGTGTCTACTTGTTCTTAGATATACAGAATGTTGTTTTGGATATGTAAGATCTGAGTAAATGAAAGATTAAATTTAAATTACATGGAATAATTTACACCATATGCCTAAAAAATTTAAGATTTTAAAGACAAACTGGTACACCTTTAATAATAAGTAAAAGGGAAGGTCGATCACTGATCTATGTTAAGGTAAAATTTGAGGGTTAAATATAATCTGACAAGAATTTCTTAAGAAAGTCATGGATATTTTTAAAAGGAATTGTTTCATTATATCTTAAGACATAAGCAAATCAATGATATGACCAGATTTTACTCCCTTGCTTGTCCTTGTGAAAAGTATTTGATAAACCAAACTCAAGCATCGTTAGTAATGCTTGGGAAAAGGAAATTAGATCAGAACAGGAAGCTAATTTAAAATTGGTATTTGGAATTTTGCTCAGTCTTTGAGGAAAAAGATTGAATATTTGAGAGCAGGAAAGGGAAGAGGAGAACAAGAAAAGACTAAGAGTTAGATGTCTTCATGGAGAGAATGTTTTCCCCATCAGAAACCAGAGATCAGTACATGGACATTTATCATAGTGCCCTATGAATATGACTGTTTTCATATGTAGCAATCTAATGATAGTATGTATTCCTTAAGAGTCTTTATGTTGAACTTACCTGTCATATTTGTTTCTCTCAATCAGGGTTCCATGGGGAGTCCTTTGACAAGACCAGCATCACGTTCACCAGCTAATTGGTCCAGTCCTCTTACGTCTCCTACCAATACGTCACAGAATACTTTATCTCCAAGGTAACAAAAGGACCATTTTCCATCATGGTGTATGTTTGCAAATTCCAATTCTTAAAAATGCAGAGACATGTTAATATAATCCTATCTGGTTTCTACTTGACTAAAGAAATTCAAGTGGAAACTTAGCAGATTTGAACAATTTTGAGCTTATTTCAAAGTTAATTCTTAAAGTGATGATAGTGGAAAGAAAGTAAATAGGGTGTGAAATCTTATATAAGTGAGAAGAAAGCCTTTTGATACAGGTTTTGTAAATACTTATTTGCATCAGATTTTATACTTATATTTCTCTGAGATGCTCTGTAAATTGAATAATAAAGAATTCTAGGAAAGAAAGAGAAAAGGGAAGTACAGAGAAATTGTAAATCTTTTTTTATACTTGTTGTTGTTAAATGCCACGGAATTGGTTCCTCCTCATAGCAACGCAGTATATGTTTCTGAGACTTTAAATCTTTGCGTGAGTAGAAAGCCTCCTCTTTTTCCTTCAGAGCAGCTGTTGGGCTTGAACCATTGATCTCGTGGATCGCAATTTAGTGCTTATGCTATGGAGCCACCGTGCTCCCCTATATTATCTACTATAAATAAGGAGTTCAAATTGTAATGATGGTTACTTAGAGCTAATGTTGACGAACCACTTATAAAAGTAGAGGAAAACTTAAGCTTATGGACAAAAACAAAAATAGGAAAGAATGGCATATTTTTTTTTCCCTTAGGCAAAAATATGACTAAGAGATTTGTCCTTAATATAAAATATAAGACATGTGTAATTCTCACAGTCTTGTGCGTTTCAAACATGGACTGTATTCAGGTGAAGTTCTTAACTCATTAAGGGACTAATGTTTCTTTCCTTTCTCTGGATTTTAAAAAAGTTTATAGTGTTTCATATTTATAATTGCTAGTTTGATTTTTGTCTTTAATCACAGCATGCAGCATCCCTTTTTTTGCTATAACTATAGGATACACACACACCCAATTACAAATACACAGGATTTCAAAAAGTTCATGGAACTATTGCAAAAAGTTTAGGAAAGGTTTTCTTGATAAAAGAGACATCTATGATGATTATCAGTTATGAGAAAAGGGAAAATTGTTCCCTGGGTAGAAGGTAGACTCATGTTAACTTGGGTGATGGGAAGGCAATATCCAAGAGTGAGGTTGGCACAGGTAAGATGAAGTTAGTGGAAGACACAGGTTGGAGTGAAAGAGTTGAAGTGAATAGAGGTAAATACTGTTAACTGATGGTACATGGAGGGGATTACCATCGTTGTAATGAAGCAACAGATACGAATTGTATAATATGGGACTGATGATCTGTATTATAAAACTTCACTCAATTCACAATAAAAAGTTTTTGTTTTTTTTTTAAGTTCATGGAAAAATTTCATTCTCTTTCAATTCCATTTTTCCATGAACATTTTGAAAGCTCTTCGTATACAGGATCAGCATTTAAGGAAGAAAAGTATGTTGTAAGCTTATCATCCCCCATATTTCTTCTATGATATATATATATATATATATATAACCACTTTAGTGACCAAATTCCAACCTGAGTTAAAATTTTAAATTTGATTATACAAAGGGGCTTCAAAAAGTTGGTGGAAATTTGAATTAAAAGATTATTGAATTTTTCTACAGATTTTTGAGACCTTGTTGAATTCATGTCAATAACATGTATGTTCTGTAATAAAAATTCTCTGCCTTCATATAAATTTATATGTTGTTGTTAAGTGCTATCAAGTCGATTCCGACCCATCGTGACCCTGTATAGGGTTTCCGAGGAGCAGCTGGTGAACTTGAACCACCAACTTTGCAGTTCAAACAGCTTTGCAGTCTGGCACATTAATGCACAGCACCACACCACGACTCCATAAATGTATATAAAATGTATTTATTACTTCTTCAATCGTTACCACTATTGTGGTTAATCACAGGTGCTGGCGTACTTCTACAAAGGGCCAGACAGTAAATGTAGGCATTGTGGAATGGGTGTTCTTTGTTGCTGCTACTCACTATTGAGTTTACAGACCTTATAAAGGTAGACTGGATTGGTTCAGCAGGTCATAGTTTGCCTAACCCTGATTAATCAGAACAGTTTTGAAAGTGAATAGGCAAATCACTTGTTTAAGGCCTCCTGGTGTGGTGGTGGTTGTTGTTAGATGCCATTGAGTCGGTACCGACTCATAGTGACCCTATGCACACAGATTGAAACACTGGCCGATCCTGGGCCAACCTCACAATTGTTACCTTGCTTGAGCCCATTCATGCTGCCACTTTGCCAATCCATCTGGCTGGGGGTCTTCCTCTTTTCTCTGACCCTCCACTTCACCAAACATGATATCCTTCTCCAGCGACTGGTCTCTCCTGACAATATGTCCGAAGTATGAGAGACGAAGTTTGGCCATCCTGGCCTCCAAAGTATGGTGGTGCGGGTTAATATGCAAAGTCAGTTTGAACCACAAGGTCACCAACCACTCCTCAGAAACTATCAGAGTGGCTATGATTCAGAACAGACTCCATGGCACTTAACAACAATTCTGGAGTCATCACACTGCCCTTTATTAGGGCAGAAGATACCTTGTACTTGAACCACTTAGCTGGAAGGGTTAGTTTTGCTAATTACATCTTGGGGAATTTGCAGTCTCTCTGATCTTGTACTTAGCAGTTGTGGTGTGGTGCTGTGGGCGAATGCATTGGACTACGAAGTTGTTTTGGATCTTAAGTTCATCAGTTCAAGTTCACTAGCTGTCTCTCAAAAACCCTATACAGGGTCCCTATGGGTCGGAACTGACAGAATGGCACTTAACAACAACAGTCTTGTCCTTAAACAGCCTGGTGGCGTAATGGATTATGTTGTGGATTGCTAACCACAGGGTCAGCAATTCAAATCCACCAGCTGCTCCATGAGAGAAAGATGAGACTTTCTACTCCAGTAAAGATTTCCAGCTTCAGGAACCCTATACATGGTCTGTATGAGTCGTAACCAATTCAACAGTACACAACCACCATCACCACCAATACTGTCCCTACAAATATCTTTCTATAATCTCCTTAAATGCATTTGTATTTTATAACTGTACATAAGTAAAAATTACGTTTTCTCTTTTATAGTGCATTTGATTATGACACAGAAAATATGAACTCTGAAGATATTTACAGCTCTCTGAGAGGTGTCACTGAAGCAATTCAGAATTTCAGCTTCCGTAGTCAAGAAGATATGAATGAGCCATTAAAAAGGGATTCTAAAAAAGAAGATGGCGATTCAGTGAGTATTGAGATAACCTTAAATTGCGGATTCATGTTTCCTTAAGACTTTTTGTGTGTGTGTGTCATTTTTTAAATGAGCTTCTCAGGGATCAGTCACTTTTCTTGACTTGTAGCTGTCATATGTAGGAGTCCTGTTGTGACACTGTAGGATAAACACTGGATTGGCATAATGAACAGCAGCCACATAATTGGCAGTCCAAACCCACCAGCCACTCCTTGGAAACCCTATACAGGGTTGCTAGGAGTCTGAACCAATAGGAGGGCATTTAACAGCAACAACAACCATTAGCTAGGCACTGTTCTGGGTCTTGGACTAACAAAACAAAACTCCTTCCTTAAATTTCTTGTATTCTAGTATATAGAGACAATTAAGCAGGAGAAATATGGGTTTTCAGATAGAGATGAGTATTAGGGAGTTTTGGGTTAAAAAGTACCTTGAAGGAAAGTGATTTTTTTTTTAATTGAGCAGTCAGAGAAGGCGTCTCTCTCAACAGGTGACATTTGCATTGAGGCTTAAATAAACAACGGGACAATGAATAAATATGGTATGGTGGTTATGTGCTATAGAGTCGGAAATGGCACATAACCACCATACCATATACAGGGTTTCTGAGGCTGTAAATCTTTACAGGAGCAGAATGCCTCATCTTTCTCCCATGGAACAACTGGTAGTATCGAACTGCTGACCTTGCGGTTCGCAGTCCAATTCGTAACCACAACGCTACCAGAGTAATTGGATATTATTCTGCTATAAAAAGGAATGATGCTGTAGAATAAGTGCTGTACTGCTAACTGCAAAGTTGACAGTTCAAATCTACTAGTCACACTTGGAAACCCTATACATGGTCATTGTGAGTCGGAACCAACTTGATTTCACATAACAACAAATAACGTGGATGAACCCTGAAAACATTAAATGAAATAAGCCAGTCACAAAGGACAAATAGTGTATGATACCAAAAATAGAAAAATGCCCAGAGGCGGAAAGTAAATTAGCGGTTACCATGGATTAATGAGAAGCTATTGCTTCATGGGTACAGAATATCTTTGGTGTGGTGGAAAAGTTTTGGGAGCATCATGAGTATGAAAATTATTAAAATGACAACTTTTTTTGGTGCGTATTTACTACACGCAGACACACAAAAGAATACAGCCATGCAAGATCTAGGAGAAGAGTAGACCATAAAAGAAACAGCAAATGAAAAGATCTTAAATAGGAACAAGTTTATGTAGTTGAGACCCAGGAAGAAAAGCAGTGTAGTTGGAGCACTATGCAAGAGTTGGGGAGTAGAATATGGGTCAGATCATACAAATCCTATGAGAGTAGTTTTGGAGTTTAGATTTTTATTTTCCTCTTACATATTATGATATTGACTTCCATCAGTGATTTGTGTGGCTCTAATTAAAGAATGGTAGAAATTCCTGGTGTGGTGCTGTGGGTTAATGTGCTAGACTGCAGACTCAGTTTGAACTGCACGGTTGGTGGTTCAAGCTCACCAGTCGCTCTTTGGAAACGCTCTACAGGGTTCCTATGGGTTGGAACTGACAACAACAACAATTAAGAATGGTAAGGCCCTCTGTTAGCATAGTGGTTACAAGTCAGGCTGCCAACCTCAAGGTCAGCAGTTCAAAACTGCCAGTGGTTCTTCGGGAGAAAGATAAGATGTTCTGCTCCCGTAAAGATTTACAGCCTCGGAAACCCTGTGCAGGGTCAGTATGAGTCAGAACATATGCCATGATACTTAAGAACAACAACAATTAAGAATGGTAAAACGCATCTTTGTGACATACATGAATATTATTTTTCAGGGTTTTAAAAAAAAAATTTGTCAATTTTTTCTGACATCTTGGGATTTTGCTCAAAACAAGTTATCCCACCATCCCTTGTGAACTGTTGTTTCTCATTGTTTGCACAAGTGCAGAATATTGTAGTGTATCAGCACATCTTCTGACTTCTTTCCTGCCATTATTTTCTCCCCATGCCCATTCTGGCAGAGCTGGTTATATTAGACCTAGTAAAATGACTACTTAAAGCCACCTTACCAATAACCTTAATAAGCAGTTCAAACCCACTAGTTGCTCCTTAGAAACCCTATGCAGGGTCATTATGAGTTGGGACTGACTCAACGGCATTACCAGTAACAACAGCAACAACCTTAGTAGCCCAGTGGTTAAAGCGCTCGGCTGTTAACTGAAAGGTCAGTGGTTTAAACCTGCCAGAAGAAAAGACCTGGCAATCTGCTCCTAGAAAGATTAGAGCTTAGAAAACCATTTGGGGCAGTTTTACCTATTCTGTGTTTGTTGTTTTTACGTGCCGTTGTTAAGTACCCCAGCCATACTGGCCTCCTGTCCCTTGAACTTTGCAGACATGTTCCCATCTCCAGACCTTTGTATTGAAGCACTGTTCTTTAGATTCCCCATAGTGAATTCCCTCATTTCTTTCATGTCTTTCCTAAAAACACATCTCACTGAAACCTTCTCACTGTAGTTAATCTGCATCTCCCACCCCCACCCCGCCTCAGCATTCTTGATTGTTGTTAAGTGCCATTGAGTCAGTTCTGACCCATAGCGACCCTGTATAGGCTTTCTGAGGAGTGGCTGGTGAGCTCGAACCACTGACCTTGCAGTTCAAACCGAGTTTGCAGTCCATGCATTAACCCACAGAGCCACACCAGGACTCCCAGCACTCTTGATCCTGCACTATTATTCTTTTTTGATTCATATACTATGTATCTTCTAATATATCATACACTTAATTCATTCATTATGTTTTCTTTTTTTATTGTGTCTGCCCCTCTACTAGAATGTTCTGCTAGGGTAGACATTATATTCCCTTTTGTTCACTAATATATACCCAATGCCAAGAACAATATCTTGCACATAATAAGTGTACAGTAAATATCTGAAGAATATTTTTTAAATGCCTAGCAAATAACCTAGCATGCAGTTGCACATCAGATACGGTACTGGTAGGGAGGAGCAATGATTTTTAACTAGTACTTGTATTAATATTTTGAATAACATTTTAATGTACTCGAACACCATCAGATATCTTTCCAAAAGTTAAGCAGACCTTTTAGGTCTTTTTTTCCTTCCTCTTTTTTAAAAAACAGACTTTTTGCACTTTTGGAGGTATTATTTTGCTTTCTAGACCTGTCATTATATAATTTACTGCTGTAACAGTGGAATCATGCTGCTTTTAGTTCTGAGTTACTAATGAAAGTCTCTTATATATTTAAAGAAACTATCATAGAAATGCAACTGCTAATCAAATTGCATATATTATTACGTCAAGCCATTGGCAATAGATCTGTAATAATCATTAGAAGCAGCATTTTTTGTGATTCTTAACTTGCCTTCACAGCTGTGAACTGCACTTTACTATAAACTTTAACATTTTAGTATGTTTTAATTCATCATGCTGATTGCCATTCATTTTTTCCCCAGCTGGTTATTATCTCCTTTGTAAAATGTATTTTTTAAAACAGTGGAGAAACATCATTTTAGAATTTTGAAGAGATTTGAAATTTAGTTCATTTGCTGTTTTCCCAATAGATGTGTGGCGTTCCTGGGATGTCCGACCCAAGAGCAGGCGGTGATGCTACTGACTCAAGCCAAACCGTTCTTGATAATAAAGTTTCCTTGCTCCATTCGATGCCTGCTCACTCCTCTCCACGCTCTCGAGACTATAATCCATATAACTATTCAGATAGCATCAGTCCCTTCAATAAGTCTGCTCTCAAAGAAGCCATGTTTGATGATGATGCAGACCAGTTTCCTGATGGTATGTTTTGGGTCACACACTACTGTCTGTGTTTTAGAGGACTCAGTGAAGCAGAAGAAATATATGTGATTCTTTTATTGTAACTCTCTAAAAAATAAAGATCTGTGGGATGGAAAATTTCCCCCATGTTCTAGGGGCTGATTTCTAATGTTTTGGTCATTTTCTTCCCCAGAATGAAAAATAGGAAAGTCATCCTAAGGTTATCTTGTAATCTAGAAATCCTTAATGATCTCCCCAAAACAACAAAAAACAGTGTTCACTGTTAGCTTAATCAATTTAGTTTTTTTATTTCCAGGCTCAGTTCATTCAGTCATTTCATACTATAATGACAAAATCATTTGAATAAAATACTCATTCTTTTATAATTATCGTGATGAATGAAAAAATATCATTTGTGTTTCTTATGTTACTGGTGTGATTTGTCTGATATTTTCTTTTGATTAGATTGATTCAGGTTATACGTTCTTGGCATCAGTATCACAGAAACAATGGTACATTATTTATTGCGCTCTATGAAGGAGCACCTCATTTCACTTTACTCCATGACTAATGACATTGACTCTGAGCCCAAGATTGTGGTGACACCTGGCAGGCTTCCTCTTTGTGAAGTGCTTTTTTTCTCTTTATAAATTAATAAGTGTTTTGTGGGACGATGTTTCTACATACATAACAGGGAAGCCCACAGTAATACATCATCAAAATTAAGTTTAAAATACCACTAATGTTCACCTGTAATAGTCACTCTGGTAAAGTTTAACAGGGACTATAATATGTTGGAATAGTGGTATCACTAGTGAGGGAGATATTCTTCCAGGGATACTCATAGCTATGTTTGCCTAGAGAAAAGAATTTCAGTATTTTTGAACACTGAAGCAAAAATATTACCAGAATTGTAATTGTGTCAGTATCTGTCAGAGGTACACAAGGAAAATCAATATTAGTAGTTAATATACTCTAGACTTATATTTTCACCATGCCTCTAGGATGTGGCAGCTATTTTCCATTTTACTGATTGGAAAATGAGCCTCAGAAATAGAGAATATTGTGTCCCCCAGTCACACAGATTTGAGAGGCAGAGGTTTGGTGAGACTCCAAAGCCCACATTCTTTTCACTTGTTCTCAGTATCTCCCTTGTCAAAAGAGGAAATACTGCTGATTATACTTTGTCTTGATTAATTTAGTGCCTTAAGTTTATCATTTGTATGATCTAAGTAGTTTAGTTTTATAACATAATTTATTTCATTCTTTGGTAGAAATGGCTTTCCTTGGAGTCATGTGTGCAGGCCATTATATGTCAAGTCATTTCTAATTTATCTCCTGGAGCAATTGTACAGCCTGCATTCCTGGAGAAGAAAACTGAGTTCCTTTGCTAAACATTTTCTTATGAACTTCCTTTAGTCACTGAAATGAAATATACTCTTAACATAATGGTCTCTGATATCTGTAAAAGTCTGACAACTTTTAATTTTCCAGGAGTAATTTTTTTGTGGGATTTATTGGTGTTAAGTGCCATCAAGTCGGTTCTGGCCCGTAGTGACCCTGAATAGGTCACTTCCAAGAAGTGGCTGGTGGATTTGAACCACCGACCTTGCAGTGCATTAGAGATGCATTTATCCTGATATAGTAGTTTTTATTATGCCAAGGAGTCCTGATGTAGTGCTGCCTGTTAAGGTGCTAGTTTGACCCGCACAGTCAGCAGTTCATATTCACCAACTGCTCCTGGGAAATGCTATACAGGGTCACTATGAGTCAGTGGCACTCAGCAACAGCAATATTATGCCAAGGGTTTTGAAATGAAATTTTTCTGGACAAGTTTTATTCTCTAACTCAAAGTTTTACCTTTGAACTTAGGTTTGTTTTTTTCTTTTTCATGGATTTGTTCTGCATTTTGCAGAGGTTCTCCTTGATCATTCAAAATCCTAATTTGGTTCTCCTTACTGATCATTGTTTTACAATTGTTTTTGAGTTTTTAAATTCAATAAATAAATTTTGTGCTCTCTATACAACTGTGTTGGGAAATCAGAAACTCTTAGTGCTCTCCTTATAGATCCATGAAAGTTGTCCTGACAAATATTCTTTTTAATAGTAAACAAATGTTGTCCTTATATTTTTTGGGCCTGAATTTCCTTCCCCTTTCTTCTGTTAGTTTTACTTCAGTAGAAAAAATCTGTTCTAGTTGCTCAGTTTATTCCCCTTTCTCTGTTTCCTGAATCCTCTGAAGTAAAATAGAATTTTTCTTTCTCTGTTTACAGTTAAGGGTTCTCTCAGACCTATAGCATCAGGCTATGATTATCACTAGGGCAGGCTAACCAGTAAGCTAAGTGAGGCATAGTAGCTTCTCTTCTTAAGTGCCAATAATGAATCATTTATCAAACTGCAACTTCTAGGTTCAATTTTGGGAAGAGTTCTCTTTTTCTTGACCCGCTTTTTTCTATAGGCAACAGTCCTCTTCCCAATGCTGGGTCTACAAATCCTCTCTGGTGTACAGGAACAACAAGAGTGGACAGCACTTTCTAATAAAAGGAGAACATGGTCAAGCCATAGGACTTCAAGGGAATACAGCTTTGTGGGGCCACTATCTTTCCTGGAGACCTGGGAGTGATGGTGACCTCAGAACCTTCCAGGCTTAAGCAGCGTATTCTTTGGTTGTCTTATTCCAGAGAAGGCATAAGGAAGTTGGTAGCACAAGCTTAGATCATCACATGCCCAAGTCCTTCAAAATCTGATTTTACCTTATGTTTGATCATCAAAAAGATTTAGGAAATGCTTGTATTTTGACATTCTAATTTAGATTTAAACTGAAATAAATCATTAAAAGCAATAGTTGATTATTGTAATTGAAAAAATAAATAGTATGAGTTCTTTAACATTCATAAGATACATGAGTTCATAATTTCATCTTTTAAAAAAAAGAAAACTTGGTATCCATTTGGCCATATTCTTAACTCAAAATTTAAAGGGAAATGTACTAAGCATTTATTCTGCCTTTCCTGTCAAACTGTATTTCAAGTTAATTAAATAGTGTTAGTTAATAGTTGGAGTCTTGGTGTGGCACTGTGAGTTAAGCACAAGACTGCAAAGCTGTTTGAACTGCAAGGTTGGTGGTTCAAGCTCACCAGCTGCTCCTCAAAAACCCTATACAGGGTCACTACGGGTCAGAACCAACTCGACAGCACTTAACAACAACAAGTTGATAGTTACTCCCTTTATCATTCCACTTCATAGAAGAAATGGTATAGTTAGAAAATTTTCCATTTTAAACTCTAGCAAAATAATTAATTCAACAACAACTATTAGTTAAAATGTTGATGGGGCACTTTACAAAGGGGAAATCAAGCTATCACTACTTACATCCAGTGATCATTATTAATATCAGTAGAAGTAGAGTGTATAAACACCTTACAGATGCAAGCTGGTGTGTGTAGGGGTGAAATCACCTATTGAGGATTTGTTAGAAATACTCAAGACAAAAGGTAAATTCCTTGGATCCCAAAGGGAAATTAGATGAAGTAAGAATGGTAAAATCTTGATAAATTGTTAAATTTGGATGATAGCTATAAGAGGGTTCATCATACAGTTCTCATGTATTTTTCACTATAAAAACTTTTTCAATATAGTGCTTTTGTTACAGGGATGACAAAATTGAAAAGAAAATTAGTTGATTTTTTTAAGGATGTGCTTTTATTAACTTCATTATTATATACCAGTAGCCTCAGCAGTTACTCTTTTATTGTCATTGTAAATCTAACTATCAGAATTTTTGCCAATTCAACTATATATAGATGTGCAGTTCTTAACAGCAGTTACAATAATAGGCTGTGCAACACTATTCCTAATCAGTGCAATTTTCCCATCATCTTTAACTCCCCTTTTCCCACTCCTTCCTGCCCCTGGGAGAAGCTCTAATAAACTTTGGTCTCTATACGTTTACCTTTTCTTGTCCTTTTATATAAATGAAGTTATATAATAATTGCCCTTTTGTAGTTGATGTGTTTCACTTAGCCTCATATCTTCAAACTCCATCCATACTGTGACATATATCGAAACTTCATTTCTCCTATTGGTTGTATGTATGTACCACATTTTATCTATTTATTTCGCGCCTTTTGCGTATTGTTCATCATAAATGAGAATTGGTGTGCAAGTTTCTTTTTGAAACTCTACTTTCAAGTCTTTGGGATATATACTAGGAGTAGAACTACTGGGTCAGATAATAGTTCTATTTATAGTTTTTGAGGAATCACCACAGTTTTCCTTAATGGCAGTAACGTTTTGTGTTCCCATTAGCAATGGACGAGTTCCAGTGTCTGAACATTCTTGCCAGCATTTTGTTATTTTCTAGATATTTTTGTTGTTGTTTAACCCATCCTAGTGAGAGAGAAATGGTAACTCATTGTAGTTTTGGTTTGCCTTTCTCTGATGACTAATGATATTAAACATCTTTCCATGTGTTTGATGGCCATTTAAATGTCCTCTTTGGTGAAATATTTATTCAAGTCCTTTGTCCATTTATGATTGGGTTTGTTAGTTTTTGTTTTTATAGTCAACATAGGTTATAATATCTGTGTTTCATATAGTTTAAAGATTGTAATCCCAATACTAATTGGTAAGATTTGATCATTAATGTAACAATTTCTTGTCCTTTTTGACAGATCTTTCCCTTGATCATTCTGACCTGGTAGCAGAGTTGTTGAAGGAGCTGTCTAACCATAATGAACGAGTGGAGGAAAGAAAGATTGCCCTCTATGAACTCATGAAACTGACACAAGAAGAATCTTTCTGTGTTTGGGATGAACACTTTAAAACAATATTGCTGTTATTGCTTGAAACCCTTGGGGATAAAGAGGTAAATGGCAGAAAATGTAAACAGTAACCTGCCTTTTTGGATTGCCTGTCATTGCCTATGAATCAAGCACCACACAGAATCAGAAATTGTGAGAATAAGTCTCCTGCTGCTTCCTTCTGCATAAAATTTTCACTATAAATTTCACTTTTTCTTTTGAACTCAATTTAAGCTCACCAATTTTGACTAATTGGCACTGGGAAAAATTAGAGGTTATAGGACCACATAGGCTGCTTGTTTTTTGCCTATCTTTAAATGATCTTTTCAGAATAAAACATCCTCTTTAATATTCAAAATCTAGTTCTGATTTTGAGAAAGTGTAATGATGTAAGTTTTCAACTGGAAATTTGATTTTTAATTCTGTCATATTTTATGAAGTCCATCATTTGACCCCAATATTAACCCTGAAATTACAGAAATTGGACATTGAAAAGATTGTCTGCAACCCCAAAACATTAAAACTTTTAAATGTTTCTTCTTAGCCTACAATCAGGGCTTTGGCACTAAAAGTTTTAAGAGAAATCCTAAGGCATCAACCAGCAAGATTTAAAAACTATGCAGAACTAACTGTCATGAAAACATTAGAAGCACATAAAGATCCTCATAAGGAGGTAAGTTACATGATAGTTATTTTATTATATAGTCAAAATATTTGTGATATTATTCCATGAAACATAGAAACATTACATGAAAAGTACAGTAATTATCAATTATCTCCCTTGATAGTCACCTAAATAACTTACTGAGATACTAGCATATATTTTTATCTATAAAATGCAATGTCATTTGGCCAACTCTAGGAAATAATCTCTGTAATTACATTTTCTTTCTTACAATTTTCACTTTCCATTTAGTGATAGCAATTTGCTGTGAGTGGGTACCAACTCGATGGAACCTAACAACAACAACAAATGAAGGAAAAAACTTAACTGTTGTTTTAATATGGTAAATTGACTTATGGTGTAGCTGTTGAAAATTGTTGTCAAGTCGGTGCCCAGTCACAGTGACCCTGTATTGGGTTTCCAAGGAGCCTCTCATGTTAAGCTGTTCAGTGCTTATCCTACAGCACCATTTGGGAGCCATGTGTCTGTTAAAGGTGAATTCAGTAATGATGACAGCTTTCGTGAAAGAATACTGTAAACCTATCTCACTACTTTGTGGTTATGCTTTTTACCCCCATGACATTGATTAGGTAACCATGAAGATTATTATTTTAAAAATGATTTTGTTGTTGTTAAGTGCCTTCGAATCGGTTCCCACTCTTAGCGACCTTGTATAGGGTTTTCAAGGAACAACCGGTGAGCTTGAACCGCTGACTTTGCAGTTCAAACCAGCATTAACCCACAACGCCACACCAGAATCCCAGAAATGATTAGGAGAGGAACTTTTTTATAAGAATTGCATTTCTAAGAGAAAGCATCAACAACAAATTATTGAATGTCTCTGGTAGAATTAAAGCAGAAGCAAGGGCAAATGATAGAGGAAAAGTTAAAATAGCAGTGAGATAAAATGGATCAAAGCTAAGTACAAAAACTAAGTCAGCCTACCCAGAGAAGCAGTGACACCAGAAATGGAGGCAGAGACAATGACGTGGAGAGATGGAATGGCTGGGGACTCTAGACCCAGAGAGGAAGAGGGGCTGTGTGCTGACGACCGGGGGGCAGACTTGCAGGGTATACCCTTTGGTTGGTTGCTGATACATAGAGGGGATTGTAACCATGGCAATGAAATGATATATGGTAGGATGAATGATAAAATGCTAATGTTCTCCCATGTAAACTATCACATAATTCACAATAAAACATTAAAAAAAAAAAAGTACATTGATGTCCACAAAAACACAAGAGGAAGCCAATTCAGGTTGTGGGAGAGTTCTGGGACCACTGTAGCTACTGTAAAGATCCGAGGATGCATAGTTAGACAAAAGAAGATGCAAAGGAGACATAACAGCTAACCTTAAACATCTAAAAGAATGTTCCTGTAAAAGAGGGGCTAAATTGACCTTCTTGCTCCAGAAAACAGAACAAGGATCAATGAGTTGGATTTATGGACACAGATTTCTGATTCAGAAAAAGGATAATTTTTGCAAAAATTCAACCTGCCCATCAAAAGAATGAACTTCCTTGTTAAGTAGTGAATTCATAGATACTAGAAGTGTCCAAGAAGAGTGTAAATAACCATCTATTTGACATGCTGTTAAAAGCATTCCTGAAAATAGAAAACACTAGATTTGAATCCTCTTTGTACTTTTAACCTGACTTTCTGAGTTTGGAAAATTTATTTAACCACTGAGTCCTGGTTTCCTCATCTTTAAAATCAGGGTAACATTATTGATTTGACAATCTTGTTAAGAGCATTAAATCAAGACATCCCCCCCCCCCAAAAAAAAAAAAGGTAAGTCAAAAAATACTGCTACAAAATCATAGAAACCTTTATTAAATAAAAATATCAAAATGTGAAGCTTTTGTTTCTTGACATATCCTCCATCTAGGGCTATATTCTAATGAAGACAGTATTTCCACTCCTCTAACCTCTCCCCAAAGAATTCTATACTCATTGACAGATACCATATTAAAATGGCATCCTTATGGAACTCAAATTGTGTTCCTTGTCAATGTTCTCTGAGTTTATGAACACAAAGAAGTCTGAAGGGTGAAATTCAAGCCAATAGAGTGGATGGGGTAAGACTTCCCAAAGAAATTCTTATAGGATATCCCTTGCCATCCTCAGAGAATAAGTAGGTACTTTATTGTGATGGGAAAAAAATTTTGGTACAATTTTCTTGGCCTTTTACTCATCTTAATATTATAATGCAGTTGTAAATTTTCTTAAAGCTTTTTCATAATAAGCCCTCATGATTGTGTTCTCCAAGAAATGTATCAAGATTACCATTTGGAGAATCCCAAAATCCAGTCACAATGACCTTCTGAGCTGACCTCTGCCTTGAATTTTACTGGCCCAGCAAATTCTCTCAGAAGCTACTTTTTTAATTGGATCTTGCTCTCCAGATTGATTTGGTAAATCCAGGACTCTTCCTCCATTATAATTTGTTCCATAATATCATCTTTATTACCTTTGATCTTGCTTAAAATTCTGGTGCAAATACCAGCTTCTTTGAACTTGCATGAACTGGTCGTCATGCAACAGTTTTGACACCCATCAAGCCAAAAGTCTGCTGAGGCAAAGATACTCACTTAAAACTGAAAATGCCAAATGATGTGAGGTCCCAACTTCAGTAACCATTGCATCAATGATAATTCTATGATTTTCTTCCACAAGTTTCTGGACTTCAGCCACAGTGTCTTCATTCATCAAGGTTGATGGTATTCCCTCTGTTGGCTCATCATTTGGATCTTGACCATACTTAAAATATTTGATGTATCTAAAAACTTGTTATTTTATGTGGCACAGCATTCCCAGTAACTTGTTGCAAAGCTTCAATTACTTGAAAAAACGTTCACTTGAATTTTGCTAAAAATCTGATATTAGCCCTGGCCTCAAAATTCTTGGTTTTTGCAATAACTCAAGCAAATCATGTTTAAATATGTCTCTGCAATCATTGGACAGCTGCAAATACGTTCTCTCAGTGCTGCATATGTCTTATTCTCATTAGAACACTCACTGTCCACCAATTTGTCATACTATGGTGGCTTCCATGTTACTGTGATTCTGAAACCTGTCCCACTGGTATTTTAAATATAGGGAGGGTCACACGTAATGGACAGGTTTCAGTAAAGTTTCCAGACTAAGAAGACTAGAAAAAAGGCGAGACAGGATATGTCTGAATGTTTAGCAGCTGAAAATCTTGTGAATAACAGCAGAACACCAGATGTAGAGCCAGGTGAGCCCTTCAAGTTGGAATGCACTCAAAATGCAAATAGGAAAGAACTGACTGTAATGACGTAAATGGTGCAAAATTGAACGATGGGTAAGGAAGACTAGAGAAAAATTGATGTATTTGAATTACGGTGTTGGCAAAGACTATTGAAAGTACTATGGACTGCTGGAAGAAGAACAAACTAACCTGTTTGTGCCGTCAGAATTGTCCTTAGAAGTCAGGATGGTGAGACTTCATCACTCATATTTTGAACATGTGACCGGGAGGGACAGTCCTTGGAGAAGCACATCATGGTTGGTAAAGTAGAGGGTCAACAAAAAGTGGAAAAGCCCCAGGGAAATGGGTTGACAAAGTGGCAACAGCAGTGGGCTCAAGCATAGCAATAATTGTGCAGATGATGCAGAACCATGTGGTGTTTCATTCTTTTGTTCACAGAGTTGCTGTGAGTCAGAACAGACTTGACAGCACTTAATAACAACTGAGACTAAAACAAGTATATTACTGTGAGAACTTATCTGCATCCACCAGTGATAGCAGAGATAAGTTTAAACATGTTTTGTTTAGAATAAGCCCATGTATGTATGAACTGGAACCCTTGTAGCAATATTTTTGACTTGCCATGATAGAAACTAAAACTCTTAGAACAAAACCTAAGTATAAATTTGAAGTACCCTTGTTACCTTTGTTACCTTGAATGATTTCTTAAATATAAAAGTATAAGCAATCACCACCAATACCAACAAAAACTAGATAAATGAGAATCGTAAAGGTGAAACTAGTGGGAATATAAATGATACCACTTTTGTATGTTATATATTGTCTGTGTGGATCTTGACAAGCTATGGACAACATTGCAGAAAATCAATATTCTAGAAACTTTTTGTGCTCCTGAGGAACCTGTACATAGACTACGATTCAGTCATTCAAACAGAACAAGGGAACACTGAATGGTTTTAAATCAGGGAGGATGTGCACCAGACTTGTGTTCTTTCACCATACTTATTCATTCTGTATGCTGAGCAAATAATCTGAGAAGCTGGATTATGTGAAGAAGAATGTTGCATTAGGATTGGAGAAAGGCTCATTAACAACCCACAATGTGCAGATGATACAACCTTGCTTGCTGAAAGTGAAGAGGACTTAAAATACTATTGGTGAAGATCAAAGACCACAGCCTTCAGTATGGGCTGCACATCAATGTAAAGAAAACAAAAATCCTCACCACTGGAGCAGTAAATAACATCATGATAAATGAATATATTAAAGTTGTCAAAGACTTCATTTTGCTTGTACCCACAAATACTCATGGAAGCAGTGTGCCTGACACAAGTCATGGTATTTTCAATAACTTCATATGCATTTGAAAGTTGGACAATGAACACGGAAGACCAGAGAAAAAAATAATACATTTAAGTTATGGTGTTGGAGAATACTAAAGGTACTATGGACTGCCAGAAGAACAAACAAATCTATGTTGGTCAAAGTACAGCCAGAATTCTCCTTAGAAGCCAAGGTAGCTAGATTTTGTCTCTCATACTTCTGATATATTATCAGGAGGGACCAGTCCCTGGAGAAGGATATCATACTTGGTAAAATGGAGGGTCAGCCAAGCGAGGAAGACGTGCACCAAGATGGGGTTGACACAGGGATAGCAGCAATGAGCTCACACATAGCAGTGTTTTGTTCTGTTATGCATAGGGATGCTATGAGTAGAAATGACTCGACAATACCTAACAACAAATGAAAAGACAACCCACAGATTTTGAGAATAATGTTTATGAAATCATATATCTGATAAGGAGTTCTGGTGTAGCACCATGAGATAAGCACTGGACTGCTAACCACAAGATTGGCAGTTCAAACCCACTAGCTGCTCCTCAGAAGGACTCATACAGAATCACTATGACTTGGAACTGAAAACAGTATCTGATAAGGGACTGTTTTTGTTGTTGTTAAATACCATTGAGTCAATTCCAACTCTTAGTGACCCCCCAGATAGGATTTCTTAGGCTGTAAATCTTTGATGGAACAGAAAGCATCTTTGTGGCTGGTGGGTTGAAACCGTGAACTTGGTGGTTCACAGACCACTGCTTATCTTACAGAGCACTGCACTCCATATAAGCACACACAACCACACCACGTGTTGCTTACATGGGGCAGAAAGTCACTCTTTCTCCTGTGGAGTGTCTGATGGGCTTGAACTGCTAACTGTGCAGTTAGCAGCCCCACATGTAACCTGCTACACCACCGGCTCCTGGATAAGGGACTAGTATCCAGAATATAGAAGGAATTCTGAACAACTTGCCAAGTAACTTATTTTTAAATGTGCCAACAAATACATGAAAAGATGCTCTACTTTATTAGTCATCAGGGAGATGCAAACCAAAACCACATCTAGAGTAAGATAGCACTCACACTAGAATGACTAAAGTTAAAATGAGAGTAACAAGTGTATATGAGGATGTGGAGAAATTGAAAACCTCAGAGTGGGCTAATTTGCTTTTTAAAGATTTGACTGCATTTCACACATTGGCTGATTTTTAATAGTGGTCTATCTTTGTACCACATTTTTAGGTCCAAGCTTGAAAAACAATATCCAATGGTTGTAGTTTGTTTTTCCATGTCACAACTCAAATAAGGCCTGCGTTGTTAAGTGCCATCGAGTCTGTTCCAACCCATAGTGATCCTGTATAGGGTTTCCGAGAAGTGGCTGGTGAGTTTGAACCATTGGCCTTGTGGTTCAAACTGACCTTATGGTCCAGTGCATGATCATGCAGCACCACACCAAGACTCCAAATAAGGCCTGTAACAGTCCCAATTGTACAAAAGAAAATATTGATGTTCTTCAGATGTCACTGCTGAAATTAGTGCTGGGTCTTCTGAATTTCAGTATATTTTCTCCTGTACTTGTCTCAGCACCTCGCACAGCTTGAAATCATAAGCAGGACACTACCAAAGCAGTATCTAAAACAATTTTTACATTTACTTCAAAGACCATCTTTACAGATTTAAGGTTCTATTTAAGCTAATCATTTCTTCTCTTATTCATTGTATTACCCTCCCCAACCCTGACACAGAAGGGAAGAAAATCAATGTGAACGAAAGGAAGAATAACACGTGAATTTTTGCTTAACACATTAATGACATTTTGATTTTATTGTGCATTAGCATGAAACAAAAGGCCCAAAGCCCTCCTAGACTTCAGTAGACCTCACCTTAGCCCACTCCAGGGGACTCCATTCACTTTGTGGGAACTCCTAAGACCCAGCACAACTCGATCAAAATTTTAAATTACTGTCAACAATGCTTTTTGTTTGTTTTAGAGTTTCTTTTGAGAAATTTAGACATACACAAAAGAATGGAAAATGATGCAATAAAGCTGTATGTTTACATCATCTGGTCTCAACAGTTATTGACATGCTGCTGTCCTATTTTGTCTGTACCCTTAACTTTTTATGCTTAGTTGTTTACTGGATTATTTTCAAGGCAAATCCCGCATATTGTGTCATTTTAAAAGTACATTAAGAAACATAACTTCTTGGCTTAATTCCTGGTTTGTTTCAGGTGGTGAGAGCTGCTGAGGAAGCTGCGTCGGTGTTAGCCACTTCAATTAGTCCAGAGCAGTGCATCAAAGTGCTTTGCCCCATCATCCAAACCGCAGACTACCCCATTAATCTGGCTGCAATCAAAATGCAAACAAAGGTGATAGAGAGAGTGTCCAAGGAAACTCTTAACCTGCTTTTGCCAGAGATTATGCCAGGTCTAATACAGGTAAGCTGTGAAGCTCAAAGTAATAAACTGTGCTATGCTTGTGATTGTGATAATGTTATTTTAGGCTTTTTCCCAACCACATATGTGGCATGTCCCAGCCTTCCTGCTGTCTGCAGTGTTTACAACAAAGACTTTCCTTCACTCTCCTTTGATGGTTGTGTGTTGTCAAGTAGACTTTGATTCATAGACACCCTATATCACAGAGTAGAACAGTCCCATTGGGCTTCTAAGCCTGTAATACATATACATGTATATAGTTTAGCTGCTTGTTGTGACTTGAGTGAAGGTTTACACACAAGATCATCAGTATAGTTAACAAATGTACAATAAAATACTTTGTTTCATCTCGGTGATTACAGTCCCCTCCATCCAACAGTTACTCCACTTCTTCCCTGTGGTTCCTATTTCCATTTCACCCACCATCCCATTCCTTCCCAGTTTTGTCCTTAAGTAAATGTTGCCCTTTTGATTTTGAATGATCGACCATTCCATAGTGAGCATTCCTTACTAGTGTTGTTGTCCCCCACTTATATATCTGACTAACACGTGACTGAGAACTGGGCCACGAGAGTGAGTTCCTTTCCAGAATTGAAGGGTCCTTGAGGGCCGTAGTCTTGGTTTACTCCAGTCTCTATCTGACCAGTAAAGCCTAGTCTTTTTTAAATAATTTTGAATTTTGTTCCACATTTTCACCGATTCTGCCCGGAACCTTTTAATGTGATCCTTTTAAAGTTGGTAGTCATAGCTGGGTACCATGTAGTTCTTCTGATGGAGACCAGTGTTCACATGTTCCATTAGTCCACTGAACTAATTGATTCCAAGCATTTCTTACCACTTCACTTTCATCAGCACATGGAGAGAACAATAGTTGCATCTTAGATGGCTACTCATGAGCTTTTAAGATCCTAGATGCTATTCAGCAAAGTATAATGTAGAACATTGTCTTTGTGTTGTTATACAAGACTGTAATCTTTATAGAAGCTGACTGCCAAATCTTTATCCCATGAAGATGTGTTCAAACGCTCAACCTTTCAGTTAACAGCCGAGCACTTAACCATTGCACCACCAAGGTCCCTTAGCTTTTGATTAGTAGTAGTGGTGGTGGTGTTGATATGCCATTGAATTGGTCTGAGTCATAGCAATCCTGTGTAGGGTTTCTGAAGCTGTAAATCTTTATGGGAGCAGAAAGCCCTGTCTTTCTTCCTCAGAGTGGCTGGTGGATTCAAACTGCTGACCTTGCAGTTAGCAGCCCAATGCATAACCACTGTGCTACCAGGACTCCTTAGCTTTTGATTGTTGTTGTTGTTAAATGCTGTCGAGTTAGTTCTGACTCATAGCAACCCAGTACAGGGTTTCCATTATGCAGCTGGTGAGCATGAACCACCAACGTTTTGGTTCAAATTAACCTTGCAGTCCACACATTAACCCATAGCGCAACACCAGGAGTCCTTAGGTTCTGATTGTTGTTGTTAAATGCCAACCCATAGCAACCCTATATAGGGTTTCTGAGGAGGAGCTGTTGAGCTTGAACCACTGATCTTGCAGTTCATACTGCTTTGTGGTCTGGCACATTAACCCACAGCACCACATTAGAGGTATGTAAAATGTCTCAGTAATTTCCCTTTGTTCCTAAGGTACATAGTATTTCAAGTAAATGCACAAGAATGTATGTCGTTTAATTCACTGTGCTCTTTGTAGACTTCGTAATTTCTAGAAGACAGTGTTGAAGCAAAGTCGAGACAATTGTAAGATTGTTATGGTCAATATTCTTGATGTTTTTGATGTTATAGTTACAAAAAAGTATGTTGAAAATGCATGCCTGGGCCTAAATTTTCATGGTAAATGGGATAATAAGGACACAAACTGTGACTTGGTATCTTCCTGCTAGGGATACTTTTGATATATTTTCAGTACTTTTGGAATAGACACCACACTCCTTTGTCTGATCTAAATCTTCACTTTATTCTTTCCCAAGCCTTTCCTATCACATACATGCTTCAAAAACAATTGTTGAGTAGTTTCTATGCACTGGACACTGTGTACACTTGGGGACTACCAGGATGACTGTGACTCTTATATGCCTTTGAACGACTGCCGCTTCGAAGGGGATAACAGGAGAAGGTGACTGATGAGATGATGTGACAGGAAATAAGGGAAAGGTGTTATCTAAAGCATTATTATTATTATTATTATTATTAATTTGATAGACTGAGTAGATGGAGACCCCACTAACGGAGAAAAGTAATATGGTATGAAGAACTGGTGTGGGTGGGAGTCAGATGATCCCGAGTGGGTCACACCGCATTCTTACCAATGACATTAAACCTTTCAGATATTTACATGAAACAAACATACTGAAAAATGAAAAAGGATTATGTGATCATTATTCATGTGTGTTCTACAATCAGAACATTTTATAGAATTAAAACATTATAGGTTAAGTTGAAGTTATATTTCACTTCCTTGCTTCTCAGAAACAACCTCAATCAGGATTTTGTTCTAAAGCTAGACCATATTTTTATAGTTTTTTAAGGTATACTAGGGGGCTTCAAAAAGTTTGTGGGAAATGGAATTAAAGGTAATACAATTTTTCCATGAACTTTTTGAACTCTCCTCCTATAATTAAAGTGTACAGTGATACATAAATAATACACAGCATTGTTTTGTGATGTGTTCATGATAGAAAAACATTTTTAATTTTTAAAAATCTTTATTTTTTTCAATCTGCATTGTGTTTTTAATTACTATCCAAGTCGATATATATAAGTTGATTTAAGTCATTCATTTTAATAGATGGTTAATAATTTGTATCTTATCAATATGCACTATTCTATTATTAGATATTTGGATTGGGACAACCAAATATTATGTAAGCATGGAACATATATGTCTTTTTTTATGAGATTCAATAGAAAGTATTAGGACTGCCTACAAACTCTTTCTTTCCTAAGACAATTGATAGTCAAATTAATCAAGTCTCTAAATTTTACCTAAACTATACAGTTAAAAGAAATTCAGTGCATAGAAAAATTGCACCTTGAAGATACACTCAGACAAATTCAGAGTGTAGGTGATTCTGTAAGAAAAATCACCAAATCCTTCAAGAAAGAAATGACATGAGTAAATGGGGAAAGGAAACTAACAACTGTTAACAATTTAAGAGATATGAGCATGAAAAAGAACAAAATGACAGGGCTAATATTCAATTTCAAAACTTATTACAAATCTACAATAATTAAAACAGTTTGGTACTAGAATAAACACAGGCATATGTTGTCATTGTTGTTAGTGCCATCGGTTTGGTTCCAACCCATAAGGACCCTGTGTAGTGTTTCCAAGGAGCAACTGGTAAGTTTCAACCACTGACTTGCAATTCAGACCTTGAGATTCAGTGCTTTTCCTACAGTGCCATAACAGACCAATGGAATAGAATTGAAAACCCAAAATTAAACCCATCCATTATTGGTCAATCGATTTTCAAAAGTATCAAAACCATTCAGTGGGGAAACAGTAATCTCTTAATAAATGTTGCTAGAAACTGGATATTAGCATTCAAAAAATTGAAATTGGATCCCTCCCTTATGCACTATATAAAAATTAACTAAAAGTATATCAGTGGCCTAAGCGTTAAGAGTTTAAACTATCACATTCTTAGAAAAAAACATAGGTATAAATATTAATGAGCTTGGATTGGACAATAGATTGTTAGGTGTAACACCAAAACACAATAGCAAAAGAACAAAGAGTTAAGTTGGACTTAATCAAACTTAAAATTTTTTATATATCAAAGGACATTATCAAGAAAGTAAGATAACCCACACAAAGTAAGAACATTTTTGTAAGTCATGAATCTGCTAAGGATCTAATACCAAATATGTAAAGAACCTTTACAACTGAACCACAAAAAGACATATAATCCAATTTTTAAATGGACAGTTTGAATAGACATTTTTCCAAAAATTTATACAATTAATTAAGTTTATGTAACAAACACATTAAAAGATGCTTGACTTCATTACTCACAGTGAGATACAACTTTGTACCCACTAGATGCCTGTAATTAAAAGAACAAAAAAGAACAAGAGGGAAAAAGACTGTTAAGAATTGGATCACGTAGTATAATCTACCAGTGTCTCTGAAGCTAAATATAAGGTTACCAGATGACTCCACAATTCCACTGTAGATCCAAAAGAAATGAAAACTTAACATCTATGCAATAACTCATATACTAATAGTCATAGTAACAATCATAATAATCAAAAAGCATATAGAACCCATTAGATCCGTTTTGGACGAAGAGCAGCCAGAGTGCTCCTTAGAGGCCAACATGGCCAAACTTTGTCTATCATACTTTGGGCATATTGTCAGGAGGGAGCAGTCGCTGGAGAAGGATATCATGTTTTGTAAGGTAGAGGGAGGGTGAGAGAAAAAGAGAAAGACCCCCAATGAGATGGATTGGCCAGGTGGCAGCATCAATGGACTCAAGTGTGGCAAAAGTAGTGAGGTTGGCCCAGGATCAAGCAGTGTTTTCATTCTGCTATGCATAAGGTCGCTGTGGGTCACTACCGACTCGATGGCACCTAACAACAACATATAGAACCCAAGAGTTCATCAGCTGATGAATTAATTTTTTTTAATGTGATATACCCAAAGAATAAACTATTAAAACCAAATCTGTTGCTATTGAGTTGATTCCGAGGCATAGAGAACCTGTAGGATCGAGTAGAACTGCTTCATAGGGTTTCAGAGACTAAATCTTAATGAGAGCCCCATCTCTCTCCTACAGAGTGCCTGGTAGATTTGGTTGGTTTGAGCCACTGACCTTGTGGTTAGCAATCTAATACTTAACCCACTGTCCCAACAGGACTCCCAAATGCACTATTATATGGTAACAAAAAGGAAGTGCTGGTATGTGGTACAACATAATTGAACCTTGAAATTATTGAGGCAAGCCAGTCAACAAAGAATACAAACAGTAGTCTCAAATTAATTATGATGAT